CATTTTTTAACATTCCCAGCTAAAAGAATTAATGTCTTTTTAGAAACCTGCTTCATAACCTAAGATCAAAAGCACTATTTAAATGCAAAGTAATAACAGATTCCTAAAGGATTAAAGACCAAATGTGAAAAGGCCTTTTCTGTCTCAGGTACATTCAGGCAATCTATACTTGCTGTGCAACTGAATATGCCGGGTTCGTCATTCTAGTATATGTTTTCTGGGATGATTAAACATCAGGATACGTGGCCTGCCATATATAGTTTCTTGAACTGGAAAGAAAAGACAGGAGCACTGAAGAGAAAGTTGAGAACAAGAATTTAGTAGATTAACCCTTAAAATCTGCAATGAGGAAACCCTAAAGCCTCCTATTTTACAAAAATTTTGCCCTCTGTGGAAAAGAGAACCTTGACTTGGTGTGCTTGAAGGGTCTGCATACCCACTGGCAAAATGTTTACCTCCATTAAAGGAGGAGGCAATACCTGACAATTCCTCCTTCTTTTAGCAGATGCTTCACCAAAGAGGAAGAGGAATGTAGGTTACTCATCTGTAAAAATGACAGTCAGTTACCACTTTAAAGAGTGGCGAAGGTATCATGCTGTCCATTGTGTGAGACAGAAAGTAATTTTTCTTAGGAGAGACCTATTTTTGGCAAGGGGTCCCTCAGCCCTCTCAGGAACTAGCAACTTTCACACTGAAAACTGAGACCAATGAAAGTTTGGAACAACACAAGCTAAATAACTATTTCTTTATTTTATATATGGCAATAAAAAAGTTAATCAAAACAATTGAACATAATAAAAATAACAGCAGAATAAAAGTATGTATAGGGGACTAGCAATGAGATCAATAAAAAAACTTGATGAAATTAAAAAGAATTCTTTAGGGACTGCTTTAAGGTCACAAGACAGAGGTCAAATAAAGTTCTTGAAGAGCTCCTATTTAATATACTTGCCCAGTTTTGCAATCCAGTGCATGTGGGGAGACTTTGCTATTTAACTTTCCAATAGTTAGGGCCAAGGTCACTTGAGGACCTACCTTGACCCATTATGTCAAACCAGCTGTGTCTGCTTTGATGTAAGTTTCAGGGATACTTCTTGTATGGCCACCTGTCGGAATGATTAGACTAGAGGACATGAAAGAGAGGACCTTCTTAATAGTGGCCCCCTCTTACGCAATTCTATTCTATTTGTTGTCTGCCATCAGTGGAAGCCTTCAGAATCAGCTGATTTCTTAACTTACAGTTGGGTTAGGAGTCTATTTGATGCCGTTGGACTGCCTTAGTTTTAGCTATAAATTTTTATTTTATCATTGCTTTTATTATTCTTAGCCTTGAATTTAAAAAATCCTCTATTATGTTTTGTGATGTCACATTTTGCTGTGCACAGTACTGGGATGTTCCCACCAAAAAAGGCAGCATTAAAAATCCAATAAATAAATGTATAAATAGGCACTCCCTGTGTGTATTAACCCTCAGAGAATGTTGGATTGCAACAAATGCTTTGTTTATTCCAAGTTAAAATCCTGAAGAAGAAGTCCAGAGAAGTGCATATATTTGTACTGAAAGCAGTAAGTGCACTGTACTTTCAGCTCTACTGACAACTGTGGAATCTTGTGATGTTCTTTGACAATCAGGAATATATATTCTTGAGACAGGCAGCACAGTTATTACTTCGTAATAGCATGTTATATAAGTTGGGGTCTTGGAGACTAAACAAGGCAGGTAGCTTTGAAATTTCATCTTAATTATTTAAGTAGGTCCTCTCTTTCATTAACCCTAACCCTTTATAAATTACACCTTGGGGGAAAGTTTTTTCCTGCCATGTGATGTTTGCTCTTCTCCCAGCCAAAAACCACTTCCTGTTTTGAACAGAGGTCTATCTCTGGACTAAGGGGAGGGCGCTAGAAGGAACAATGATGCAGAAATTATTATTAGGAAAGTGGACAGATGGGAGCCATACATGGTTTGTCATTTGAGGTAGCTACAAATGAGAAAAGCAGGAGAAAAGTTCTGTTGCATAAGGCAAGGAAGGAAGTGTAGGGCAGTGTATTAATCTCTTCCATGTTGTTTGCTTTTCTAGCAATCCAACCTTTCTGCTTTGACATGCAAGGATATATAATGCTATGTTCAGTTCCCTACTGACTTTCTGGCACATGGACCAGAATCTCCCGACTCTCCTCTTTGTTGATTTACCTCCCTGTTTGTGTATCTCTGTTATTTAATCTCCATTACTGGGGCTGTCCTGGAAGGTGCATGGTTAAGATCAGTCTTCCGATAAACCCTGAAATACGATTTTTCCTGTCAAACAAGGACTTTAAGATAATTGAGAAGCCTTGTAGACAGGCTTAGGAGGGATCTGAGGAGAGGCACTCTGAGGGCAAAGAGTTCATAATGTTTGCAGCATTTGAGATAGAGAAATGGCCTCCTGTTTGATTTTTAGGTGTTACAGGGCTTAGTTACTACGTTATCTCACACATGTGTGAAGCAGAAGTCAATCAGTGACAGTGAAACCAACTATTGGGTATTATCACACCTGATGGTTTCTAATAATATAGTTGATTTATGCACATTTTTAAATGTTTAAAATAGATTGCTTTTGAGATTAAAATTCAGCATAATGTGTTTCAGGAAGGGATTTTTTTTTATGCTTTTAGGTGATTAGTGGGATAAAATAGTTGGGCATATAACAATCAGATTTGATGTCCATCCAACCATTTTAAGGAATACACATCCGTGAGACTAGGGAGAGGGTTCTTTAGTGTCTTTTAACCTTCCCAGTATGGCTTCACCTTCTGCTGCTTGCTTGTTGTTCAGTGGAGCTCTGTTGATATATTGATTTGGAGCAGTTTTGCCCACTCTTCCTTGTGATGGAAGATTGTCAGTTGCAACCAGGGCTAGACTCAGGAACTTATAGATTTGTGCTCTGTGGTCGCTTGTGATGAGCACACAAAATTGCAAACTAAAGAGTTCCCATGCCCATACTGTCCTTGCAGGCCCCAGGTCACACTGTCCACTGAAACACTAGCTTGCTAGCAGTATAAAAACTTCCAATATTGTTGTGCTGCCAGGTCAGCCATCAGTTTAGCCTTGTTTGCCATTCCTGGCTATTGTTCTTTTGCCTGCCAGATTACCCCTGGGTTCTGATCCCCAGGTTGCCAACTTTCTTGGCTGTTTTGGTGAATGTACTCTTTATGAGTATAAATATAGAATCCCCACTGAATATTTCCCCTCCACACACACACACACACACCACACACACACACCACCTATTTTAACTTCCAGATTTCAGTTCACCCTATGCAGTCTAGTTTATAGCATGAACTAAAGGCCCATTCACACATAGCAACAACCCTTACACTGATTAAATTTCTGGCTGCCAGGGCTGCACAGGAAGGAGGGAGTATCCTCGCTTGTCCTATCCACATTGCATCTGGTTTCTCAAACAGCCCAAGAACACCCTGTTCTGGGTTGTTTGATGTGATCAGGGGTTGTTATCAGGATCACATGGGCTAAACAACTATGCAGTGTTTGAACTCATTATTTATTGTTGAGTTAAACAATGGGGTATTTCTTTGTACATTAGCAGAATCTCCATCCTGTCTAGGGCTTCCAACACAAAGCCAACTCAGTTCAAATCCAGGCATGTCATTTTCAGGGTTAGATAACCTATCCAGAAGATGACATCCATATAGACTGTGGCCTCTCCACCCATCCCAAAGGCCATGCTTAGTGCTGTACTTCTTTCTCCACTGTCCAGTTAGGCCTCTGTTATCCCAGTCAGGTCCTCCCATTCTTCTCAGACCACCTCAAAGATGGTGTTCACATTTAGTAATCTAGCTGCAGAAATCTTTATATGTACCCATCATTTACACATCAAAAGTACTTAAGCTTTTTAATAGTCCCTAAAGACTCTAGTCCTGAACAATGTGTTGCTCACTGTGGCTGCTATCCAGTAAGTACACACAGCAGTCATGTTTACTGTAATAGTAGTACTGGTCATTCTTTTGATGGCTTATTCCGGGGCAGGTATTGAAGTGCTTAAAACCCGTAAAAACCAGTCTGTTCAAAGACCATGGCTTGACAAAAATCAATTTCTGTACAATTGGCAGTGACAAGGGTACAGTATGAGTCTTTGAAGGGTTATTTCCTATACACAGCCATGGACATAGATTGCTGACATTTGGCAGAAAGTTCAAATGAAAGATGGCAAAATGCTTTGTTTCTTGCTGAGAAGACTCCTACAGGAATGTCTGTTTTGTACAAAACACACAGTATCTTGTTAGTATCTTCGTCTGGTTCCATTCTTTTAATGAAATAATGGGTATAGTTGGTACCTCAGGAGTGGCAGCTGATGAGAGCATATGGTTTTCCTTTTAATTTGTGAGCAAATTAACTTCACTGTGAAAAATCCCAGATTGATAGCACAGTTGCCTGAAGTCTGAAAGCACAGTGTTATCCATTGGACAGATAATGAATAGGAAGGAACAGCACAAACCTCACAAACTCACACTAGGGAAGATGCTGGTGAAGTTTCTTCTGTTTTCAAATGAACATGTCCTTAGTCTGCACAAGTAAAATGCCAGCTCATGCTGATCATGCAGTTGGCATCTGCCCGCAGAGTAAATGACTGACAGCCGCCTTCTATATGAAGCAGAAGATCTTTACTGGAAACTGAGAAATGAAATGCAAGCAATCCTATCACTAAGGCTGCAGATCTAAGTGTACTTTCTAGGCGATAAGTCCCATCGACTGGAGTGAGACATTGCAGTAATTTCACCTAGGATTGACTCCCCCTCTGTGTGTGTGTGGGGTGGGGGGCAGGGAGAAGCCTGCCTACAAGAGGAAGATGTAAGTTTGAGCTCACCATTACTAATCTTTGGGTTGAGATCCAGGTCTTGCGGCCAGTGCCAATTCCATGTCTCCATTCTGTGGTTTGGTGCTAAGGCGGCTACAGCATCTCCACATTAACCGTCCTCTCTTTTGCTTGTTTCTTGAAATGCAGAACAGCACTGATTGCCCACAGATTGTGCCAGCCTCTGTTGCACCAGTGTCCACAGGGATTTTTCAGGACATTGCCATCACCTTAAGAAATGCCGCTTTTATAAAGGTAATGAAACATGCAGATATTGCAGAAAAACGTGAATTAGCTAATGAGTAAATTCTACATTTGTAGCAAGAGTTGGAACATAGAGACTGTTGATAGAATACCAATTTCAGATCGTGAGAAGTGAAGTCTATATATAACCGACCTTTTCTTCCTGCTATAATGACAGAAATAGCCATCGCATTAGAGCACCTTAATAGAAAGCAGTAACCTTGGCAAGTGGCTGGGTGGGCTTAAATAGAAAGAAGAAAATGTGCCTTGTATGCAGACGTTCTCTGGGGATGCCTTACATGTAATTCGAGAACCTTCATGGTATTTATACAATAGGTGGATTTATAATATTGTAAAACTTTCACTAGAACAGAGTATTTGGGGGGAAATTGACTTCATACATTTGAAGATTTTTTTCCCCATATTCCACTCAGTGAACTTTGCAGGTGTGCAGTTCTCACAGGAGAAGGTATGCCAAGCCATTTTCTCTGCAAAACAATGAGTCCCATGCTTGAGAAATGAAAAGAAGCTTGTTAAAAGTAGCAAGTGGCAAAAATCAATGCTAGAAAATTGAATCCAGACCATTAATATGGACACAATTTCTCTCTGCACATGGGGTTAGGGATAGATGTTCTTTACATTAAGAAAATCTGAGATCAGGCAAATAATTTTAGACTCATGGGTTCAGAAACATGTTTGAGATATGTTAAAGTATTTCTAGAATATAGGAGGCTGGTAATGAATGCTATGGAAGGGTCCTGAGATCTTATGCTTTTGTGCTCTTCCTTTTAAGCAGCCCATATGAGGCAATAACAGTATCAGAATCCCTGCACTGGTTAGAATGGGTTAGCCCATTATCTCCTCCTTTAGGGACTAGGTCTGTGTATTTAGGTTGCTTTAATAGACAGAATATTAGCCTAGTAATGTTGGCATAAGTGTTGCTAGGGTAGGTATACTGAACATCCTATACTGAGCTTCTTCAATTCTGCTCATGTTTCCTGGACTGGATGGACCACAATTGGTTATTATGCTTAACCAGAAAAAATAATAAAGAAGCGATAGTTTTGTGATAAAAAACAGCATTTGAAGAGCTTCCATGTGTACATTTGCATGTCACAACAGTCCACCCTGGCAATAAGCCATGGTGGGCTACTTGTAGGTTAAACAACTCACAGTGTGCCTGTGATCAAGTTCACTGTGGGTTGTTTGCCCTTTCACTCATCCTCCTTCTCCTTTCCTCCTCCCATGAGTTTTCTCAGGGGTACTGTACAGAACGTACTTACTTTCCCCCTCCCCACTCTGATCACAGGAAGTTTCTGGCTTGCTGTCCTTTTTCTCACTTGAACCTTCCTTTTTAAAGGAGATTGCAAAAGCTGGATTCTCAGCTAGCTTTCACAATCACTATTTTGACAGACGCTGATAGCTCCTTCAAGTAAAGGGGCTGACAGCAGCTGCCCAAACTTTTTTTTTTTAAATTGCTAAAGTGCAGCACATTTCAACCCTGGGCATTCCCCAAAAGAGACTCCAAATAGCATTTCCCCCCTTTAGTTTCTCTTGACAGGTGTCAAAAGATAATCTGTCAAGAAAATCCAAAGCATATAGTTTGCTTGCGAAAAAGGGAATGATGTGACTACATCCCCTTCACTGAAAAAATCCTCTACTTTTTTCTCAGCAGTCAGTCCTCAAGGTGAGGCATAATTTTTTTCAAGGACTCTAGGCGGTCAGGAAAGTACAAAAGTGCTTCTCACTTCCTGTTTCTGGGGGATGGGTCAGCTGGGAAAAAAGAATGTTTGCAGTTGCACAAGTGTGGCTAAAACAGACAGACAGACAGACAGACAAACGCAGTAAACTTCTTTGAAAACTGTTTTGGGAAAATTCATTTTTTAAAAAGAAAAGTTTTACCAGCTACTGACAATACCTCCAAGATGCAGCTCAACACTTTGAAGTAAGCTTTCAATGGCTTTCAAAATGGGAATCATGAAATCTCCAGAAAAAAGTAAAGGAAATAAAACTCACACCAAGCTGATATCTGTTCACAGTCATGTATGGAGGGCAGCGAGCCAGTGCCAGCTGCCCCAAGAACCTCTTGGGCACGTGGCTCGCTGGCACTGGCAGGGGCCCTGGCACACTTGGCAGGAGCTACAAGGGATGTTGGTCACTCTTGGCAAGCATGTTAGTAGCCAGTCCCTTGAACCCCAACAATAATGGGGTTGGTCAGCCACATCCAGCTAACCCAACAATTCATTGTAGCTACAACATTTCCAAGAACAGATACACGTCAGCAGGGTGAGTAGCAACCCATAGCAGGCTGTCGTGTCACATGAATACAATTTGTATTTCACATGTGCATACCACTTGTGTGTTATCGCAGCCTAAATTTGCATGTAGACTTGTCTGAAAAGCACATCCCTTGCTTGTAACTGTGCATGTATACAGCCTTTCCTTTTTTTGTTCAGCTCAAAGCTGTGCTTGAAAAGCTTCTTAAGGCGGCTTTATTGACAATTTTTGAAGCCATTACCGTATCCAGCAGAGGAACTTAACAAGTCGTAGACAAAGGCTCAGTTTGCTTGCAATACCGGCAAAGGAAACTCTTTGTGCTGTAGTTTTATTACAGTTGCTTCCCTACAGTGGCACTAGTAAATAAGGATGTGCCCCTACATTGTCAGCAAAAAAAGAAAAAAAAACTTTCGTTTCCTCTGTGGTGCTGCAAGGTGACTACAGAGGAAGAAGTTCTGTGAATAGCTTGATAAGAGGTGGAATAAACAGGAAAGAACCTCAGTTCCCAACTGACAATTCCAGACAACTATCTTACAGCCTGGTTTCCTCTCAGCCTGTCTGTTAATACAAGGGAAGATTACTAAGATGTCATTTCCCTGGAGAGGATGCACGTCGTTATTGCTTCGTATGTGTGGACAAACTTGCTTGAGCAAATGTCATTGGTTGAAATCACACACATATGTTTGAGCGCTTCAGTGATTGCTCATGAATCTTACCCTGCTCTGTAAATGTACTGTAATACCATTTACAAGTTATGCCTTTCCCACTTTAAATGTTACCGCACTTCTTCCAGTTAATGTGTGCAAAAACATCCACACACCCTTTTGCCAGTCCTGGACACTGGTCCATGCTGCCTTGTGACTAGATTTTGGACACCATCCCAACCGTGACATGGTTGCTGACAACCTAATCAAGCATGGTTGTGCCCCTTTCTGAATTATCCATATACACAGCCATACCATCACCTCCTCTTTGGAATGATTCCAGTAGAATAGAGTGGCCCCTAGAGCTTTTTCTGTAGGCTTGGAAACAGGCAGCAGAAAATTCACAAGTGGCAACCTTTTAATAGAAGGTGCCTTTTCAAGGGAAACTGCAGCTACTTTTTGGTAACCGGTTTAAGCAGTTTAGGCCTCCACTCCCCAAAATTGTGCTGCAATAATCAAGAGTACAACTCCTCAGTACTAGGAAGAACACTGAAACTAGGAAGACCTAGCCCACCCTTAGTTTCAGGATAATTAAGAGTAGAGTTTAATTCATTTGCTTTCGGAATGCAGGAAAATAAGTGTGATACACACATTTAATTCATCAGAGCTGAGGGAAGGAATGTCTATCTGATGACTGGATTTAAAACAGAGCCTCTAGGACAGGGGAGGCAGGATCTTAGGCACAGGGTCCAAAGCCAGCCTGCAAGAGATCCAAAACTGGCCCTTAGGGGTTCTCTTGATGGCCATGCCCCTTACCCCAACCACTCATCATTGATTGATTGATTTGATTTGTGGCCCTCCTTTCTACCCAGAAATTTGGTTCTGGGGCAGGGGGGTTACTGTCAAAAATAAAACTGGATTAAAGCAATAACCAAGAAAATATATTAAGATTTAACTAAAAATCAATAGCAAAGTAAAAACGATACTCAACACAATGGGCTGCTTATGTACCAAAGGCCCTTTTGAATAAAAGGCCTTTGCCTGTCCCTGAAGGGCAGCAGAGTAGGGGTATCAAAACTTCCCTAGGTTTCCCAGCTTTTGCTCAGTTGCTCTATTCCATCTGCCTTAATACAATCCCGCTTCTTCTCTTTGAACTCAATAGCATATGAAGCGATCTTAGGAATAGCTCTCTTAGCAGACGAATAGGGCCTTTTCAAACAAGAGTGTAGGTTCCCATCTTTCCTTTCACGCTCTGCTAATGACCGTTGCTTTCCAAAACTGCCGAATGGCTCCAGCATCACCCAGCTTTCCCACTGTGGGCCTGACTGCAGAGCCCCGCCTGTGCCATTGCACTTGTGCCCTGAGCCATTGCAGGCAGCAAGACCCTTTCAAGAGGAAGAGCCGGCTGACAGGCCGCTCACACATCAGGTAGAATATACCTAGAATATACCCAGGGCCTTCCTCATCTTTTCCTTCCTTCAAGCTGACCCTGGGCCCTTAACCTGGGGGGAAATGGAAGATTTGCTTGTAAAAAGAGTTTGTATGTGGAGCAGTGTCTGAATTTAGGGCAAGCTCATGTCAAAGTATACTGAGCTTGCTAGTGGGCTGGAGTGTGCGTGGAGCTCCTTGGCTCTGCCGTAATTTTTCTGCCTTTTCCTTGATCCGTGTGGCCAGATTTGGATGGATGTTTAATTCTCTTTGGCATCAGGGGTTTGCACTAGGCGAGAAAAGGGGGATTAGGTGTGGAAGGAGGATCGGACCTTCTTGCTCTTTTATGTTCAAAAGCCACAGTGCTTTGGAAAGGCACCTTAAAGACTCACAAATTGATTGTGGTATAATAAGGTTTGATGGACAGCATTCTACAGTACAGAAAGTTACTTTGAAAGATGTTATTTGTCATGTAAGTGGAGAAAAATGGCACTTGCTGAATAAAGCTACAGGGGCCTTTGTGATCTCTGTTGTTTCCGATCCCCTGGAACAGCTGGCTTTTACCCACATGTGCTTCCCCTCCTGCTGCCTCCCTTGAATCTGTGTGCCTGAGGATTTGTTTTGTTTTTCCGCCTGAAATCAAATGCCCTCCTCTCACCTGTCCATAATCCTTTTTACAAAATGAGATAAGGTTCTTTAAAGACAGACATGCAAACACATACGTATGCACCGTAGAGGCAGATGCAGCTGCCTCAGTCAAAAAAGGCAGCAAAATATTATGTATTAATTGTTGTCGTATCGTCACTGCCAGGGGAGAGCACGCAGGTGCTTGCAGGATTTTGTGCCTCAGGAATCAAAACGGCTTGGCTGACTGAGTGCTGTTGTGCATCTTGAATGGGGGTGGGTGGGAAAAGGTTTCACTGGGGGCAGCTTTCTCTGCCTCCTCACCTGGTCCAGAGACCAGGAGCCTCCAGATAATGCCTTCCAGTCCTGAGGTCTCTGTCCTGTGCTGGGGTGTTTGTTGGCGATGGGAGGGGCGGTGCAGGGGGTGCAGAACGAGCAAAGTTTTACTAAGAAGTAAATCCCATCATGTTTAATGGGGCTAAGCTCTCTGTAATTGTACAGGCTTGCAGGTTAAAGGGAGGGCTTTATATTCTGCAGTGCATTCCCATGCTCCCTCTTGTCCATGTGCCTTGTTCAGTTTTTAGTTAATTGGTAAATGCTTAAAGTGCTCTTGCTGGTGTCAGGCACTCATTCCCATCTGGATTAGGGCCTGAAAGACCAAGGAAAAGAGTGGGCTAATCAAGAAAGCACAATTTGGGACATTGCCCAGTTCTGTTCTGAAAGCAAGCAAGAGGTCTTCTATAAAATTTAAACTATAGTAAGGATTTCTAAATATGTACTTATATTTTCATATTCAAACATGTATATGCAGATCTGTGCTATTTTTGTTCCATGGGCTGAAGTTCTGAATTTGGCCAAGTACCATCCGTATTTAAATCCATTTTTAAAATGCATCTTACTGTCCAAGTACATTGGTTGCAGTTAATCTTATGGATATTATTACAGCAATAAATAGAGAACAGAATTTGGCTCACTGGGTTATCAGAATAAGTGTGATATACAGGGCTCATTCTTGTTTGTAGTGAAGGAAAAGGCCCAAAAGAGGCTATTACTATGCAAATTTTCACTGTTTTCTCATGTCTAGGATATGCCTTTGGAATGTCACTTTGAAACTGATAGAATATTTGAGGCCCGATGGGTGAATGCATCCGCTGTTCAATGTAGCAACGTGCTGGTGAGTTGTTACTACTTAGTGGATATTTTTGTCTCATTGATACTCTCTTTTATATGTATTAGTGACAGACTTACAGGCCATGTGCATGCTGTTTTATCCAGTTAGATTGTCCATCACAAACTTCATGGGAGATCTAATTCTACAGGCTCCAGTGAATATTAAATTGCAAGGCTGCTTATACACTTTCTAACATGACCATAGGTTAATAATAGGTAATTTCTTGAACAGGGAAATTTCTCTTCAAAAGTAATTGGAAGGTCCAATTGCTGTCATAACTTTACATTTTCTTGCTAACTGTTGGGAGCTTGAAACTTTTTTTAAAGCTGTTCTTGCTTACATGGTTTCCACACAAAGCTATGGAATCACCAGGGTGAATTTTGCATCTACCATGGATTGGTTCTCTGTTGCTGAGACTTGATTAAGAAAGAACAGTACCCCATATATTGCTGCATTCTCCTGCTGAAAATCTGAATCTCATATTCCAAGTAACATCTTGTTTTTATGATGACAGCTATAAAATGAATGTATATTTGCCACTGTGGTTTGGCATTTCATTGAATGGGATAACTCTTTCTTCACCTTCTTCCTTCATACAGCTTCACACATCAAACAAAAGACATCTATTTCCAGTGAACCTTCACCTTAAGGAAAAACCTGATAGATTTATTGACAGTCCACAGATGATGACAGGTTTGCCTTAAACTTTTTTTTCCAAATCCAGAGAGACATATTCATGGAGCATAGCTCTATAAATGGATATTAGCCATAGCACTTATTTGGAACATCCAAGTACAAAACCACTACATCTCTAATCACATGATTCTGAAGGCAATCAATAAATATGGTACTGCTTCAATATAGAATGCTCAACTAGATGGAACTTTGCCATGATTCAGAATTCTCATTGTAAAAGAGCCCTTGGTTGGCCAAAACCAAATTGGCCAGGTCATTCCTCCTCCACCAGACCATTTGATTATTGCTTTCAGTATACTTCAGTTTTGTTTTACCCATGAGCAATGGAAATATTTTTTGATTCCACATGCTGTTGATTACTGGGGTTCCCATGTTTCAGGGGCAGAAGGCACAAAACTGTAGTTCTGTGCAGTTTCACACTCCAATGAAAAAATAGCAAGACAGTGAAACAAAGACAGAAATAAGAGAACTGAAGAGATTCACTTGACACGTTTGCATCATGTAGACCACTGTAATGATCATTGGCTGTCACTGAAAACAGATATTTTTGCTAACTGTGTGGAGTCAGCAGTGCAGAGTTGCCTCTAATGTAGATACTTAGAAATAGAAAAATGTGGCACAAATTTACAAAGATTTTTAAAGAAGTACTGAATTACGTTGCAACAAGAACTGTTAGAAAAGTTTTAGGGCTGCAGCCACAGCACTTTCAGTTTCTTGTGTGTCCAAACTCTTCTTTTGCTTTGTTGGGTTTTAAATATCATATCACCAAAGAGGAGGACACTTACAAACACAAAATTAAGCAAAAATATGTTTATTTCCATCTTACGATATGTTATCATCTTTTTTTCAGTGGAGATTTACAATTGTGCAACTGGAAGTGCTGACTGTTCCCAGTGTCTTGGGAGAGAAGATCTGGGTCATCAATGCACTTGGAGTGAGAGTAGTTCTAGCTGCAGACTAAATAGTGAATCCCTCCAGATCCCAGGCACATGCCCTCCTCCTGAGGTTAGGAAGGTAAGACAATGCAACACAAAAAGGGGCACTCTGTTCAGCATTGTTCTGCTGCCATCAACTTAAGTAGCTCTGTGGTTTGACAGTAAAGAACAGAAACAGTCTTTGGGCACAATTGAGAAATGTATTGTCCTTAATAGATGAAAACAGACCTGCATTCTGATCTTTACTGTAAATGTGTTCTTGCTTTAAAAATGATAGACTTAAGTACTGATAATGCAAATAGGGAAAACTGTGGTCTTTCTTGGTGAATAATAAAAATCTTGTACTGAAACTTGCACCAAAACTATCTCCTGAAACTTGAGATTGAAGAAGGCTATGCAAACATTCTCATGACATTAATGAAACCTTGGTTGGTTCCATTAAAGCTGGCAGAAATGTTGCTGTTGGCTTAAATGGAACCTGGATTTCCATTTCATTCCCTCTGTTTTAAAGAAGAGCCCAGTTTATTAAACGTGCATGTCTACATGCGGGCTTGTACCTTCCAAGCATTAGGTTTAATCCAACTAAATGTTACACTTTTCTAAGTCCTATTTCAGTGGAAAAATTAAGTCTGGGATGCCTAAGAACCACTTCATGCCAAAAACAACAATGACCACAACAAATTGCTGACATGGAAATCTCTTTGGCATAGGAAGTTGTGCGTGTGTTCATATATATGTGCACTGTGATGAATGTTGATATCATCCTCCATGCCAACAGTTTGCCTTCCCAGCATGTGCAGGTGTGGCAAAATAGATTTGCAAGCTGTTGTCACAGGTCACTGTTTTCTGTTGGAAGCCACAGTTTTCTGCACAGAAGCAATATCCATGTAGGAAATGATGCTCTTGTGAAGCAGCCCTAAAAATCAGCAGGGTGGCTAACCTAGAAAAAATAGCTTATGAAGCTGAAGGTAGATTCCTAGTCAAAACATAATCCAGTGACTATTTTATTGTTCATATCTGTAGTTCCAGTTTTTCTGGCCTGACAATGTAGAGGAAAAGCTAAAGAGCCCGTCTCAGCTCCAGTGTATAGGAAACTTATACTCCTGCTCTCTGCCAAGAACAACTTGTGAAAGCAAACCACAAGAATTAAGGTTACTGTATGTCATGAGATTGGGATTCTATTTCCTTGCAGATACTGTACATTCAATCCAAATCCTCCATTTCAAAAAACAAACAAGCTTTTCTTTAGTGTCTGCGGAGTTGTCTTGGGGGGGAGGAGGAGGGTGACTGTAACTTTACTGGAATGGTGCACTGCATTTAGTAAGGGGACATTATCAGCCCTAAGCAGCTTGGCGGAAGAAGGAGCCCCCACTCTTGACCTTCTGCCCCTTGGCTTACGTCATGTTATGTTGGCAACAGCTACAGTGAATGGCAAGCTGCAGCCTCGCTGTCTGTACTTTGAGGAAGGAAGGCTGCTGTTCCTGCACAGCTTTCACTGGCTTTAATTTTTTCAATAGGTTTGTTGCAATTTAAAAGGTCCTTTTTAAATCTAGGGCATTAAGCTAGACCAGATGTCCAGTGAAATCAAAGTGGCTTTGGGGTTGACAGCAGGACAAACAGTGACAGAAATGAAATCTCTCCTGAATATATGGTAAAATGCCACTGTAGCCCATAACCATAACATTGCAAACAAAAAAACACCTGTAGTCCAATTGCATCAAGATTTGGGTAACAACATTGAAATGAAAAACTCAGAATAATAATTAGGCTGTCTTTTCTCAATGTCTGTGCAAGGAACACCTTATCATTGGAATTATTCACCATGCTGATGTTTAAAGAACTCAGTTTGTAACTAAGAAATTAACAAATATCTGTGGTTGTTCCCTTCACAATGAAGTTGTAATACAGCTGCATTTTTTCTGTTTTCCATTCTTCTAATCTTGTTCTTCTACACTGTGGTACAAAGTTTTAAGTCCTGTTAGCTCTGTTTTCAGTAGTGTATGAAATTTCCTCTACATGGGATGAAGGACATCATAGCATTAAAAACTATTAGGAGTCATACAACTGAAACAGAATATGTGTCTTAAGCATATGGCTGGACCCAAGCACACTTTTAATTCTCTAGAAGAATATGGGCATCAAATTCATGTTCATAGTAATTAAAATGAATGTGCATCCCCCCATGTCTTTATTTTAACCCACTCTCATGAAGTTACCTTTAAATTTGCAGATTGAGCCCTTGAATGGACCCTTGGAAGGAGGAACTCTGGTCACAATACGAGGAAGAAATCTGGGCCGTAGATTCAGTGATGTCATCAATGCTGTCAAGATTGGGAATGTGAAATGTTCACCACTGCAGAACAGATACATAGTCTCTGAGCAGTGAGTAACTCAAGCTGAATAGGTTCTGATCGTTTATAGTCCTCTTCTCTAATGATTGCTTCTTTCCAGTGGTCACTTTCGTGAGATTTGGTATCTGATTGTTTGGTGTAAGTGTATGAATGTTTGAATGGATGCACATACATGTGCAAAAAGCAAATAAGACATTCAGTTATCCACTAGCCTCCTTGCTATTAATTATATCAGCTCCTGTTGGCACGGTGTACCAAACTGCCTTTTTCATTTTCTAAAAAAAACAGATTTTTCCATTATAAGTATTGAAACTCCCTTGAGGAATTTCCTCTGCAGCAATAGATAACATAGCTATAGCGCTCACAAGCAGTTGGAGTATTCATGTGCTAGAATCCTGAACTTGTTCTTGTGGATGTATCCTTTGCAGAGTGCTTCTGTCCAAATGTAACTGGAAAATTGCCTTCTGTGCTTCCTGTTCTTGATTTTTCAATACATCCTCAGGGCAGAAGTTACTCCAGATCAATTCTTCTTGTGAGTGGGCAGTGAAAATGACTGGCACTAACTGGCCTCCTAGTGAGTTGCATGTACCAAGGAACTGATCTCCACAAAATTTCAAGTTCCCTCTTGATTGTTACAGATGCTCTCAGCAGCTCAAGGTGACAAGTGTAATCAAAACTTGCAGAGCTGCTATTCAAGCTGTAGCCATTTGAAAAACAACTGGAAAACTTATTCAGTGCTGTCAAACCTTTCACGAGCTTCACAGTCACATACTTCTTATAAAGTTGTCTTCGTTATCGTTGCTAGACATGCCTCAGAGACCCGCTGAGGTGATTGTCTGCAGCCTACTTTGGAATGAAATCATTAACAAAGCCTTAGGAGAGATTCGCAGGATAATTTCTTATGGAAATGGTATTAGCAGGCCCTGAACCAAAGCTGTCAGGACCAGTAGAATGACTGCGCTTTAAAGCATGTGTATTGATACAAATAATATGGTAATATCTAATTTTGGAAGAAATTGAGATTATCCTTAATGAACATAGCAGTTATTAAGATTTTTTTGGAAAAAAATATATAGGCTAGCCATTTTTAAGGTATCTCTGCAGCAGTTGTCTTTTCATGTGTTTATATCCTTGAACATACTGTGAATAGCTGGTATGATGCACTTTTCATTCCAGTTTCTGCCCCTGGTTAATTTCCCAAGGAGTGAATATTCCCAGCAGTGTGCTATGGTAGCTGCTGCATTATACTGTAGAAATGTATCTTGCCCCCATTTTATATGCCTCCTAGATGCCAGAGCACAGCATTATCTATGTATGCATTCAGCTCAATATTGTTGTTGTTTACAAATGAAATTATCCAAAGAGCAGTTTACAGTCCCAAGAGGAAAATGCATGCCTGGACAAGAAATGTGCAAACAGAAGCTCTGGGACCTCAAGGAACAAAACAAAATGCTACAGATTAATTAAAGCCCTGTAAAGGTTGCTGGTGCAAACATATTTTATACATCTCAGATCATATGCCAGGTACCAGATGATGCAGCAATAATAAAACATCTATTTATAGATGCCATTTTTTGTTTCTGAACAATGTATGCACTTCCGCATAACCAAGGGTACGCAACATCATCACAAGATTGTCATGCATTTTGTGTTTTTAAGTCATATGAATTAGATAGCCGTCTGATCACAATAAGTTGGTAACAAATTGAAACACAAGGAATTAAGCAGATGCCTCCATGGTATAGGGAAAGTGGGTCCCCCCAAATTCTGAACTGCATAATGTCCTATGGAGATGGGTGCTTTGCTTTCAGGCCCAGTGCAGCGTGAATAGGAAAGGTTTAGTGAAGACTTGTTCCAAGATGATCTATGTACACCTCCTTAGAACAGTTTACTTCATACTGTTCATCTATGATGAATCGCCTCTCATGTGAGTATTTCTGCCAGCTTGATATGTCTTAGGAGTCGTGATGGGACAATACTGATAAGTCACTAACTCCATGCACATGAAAGTATTTTTATTGTGCTGTTTTGACATGCATTTTGCCTTGAAGGAGAGGAAGGCAAACACTCAAAATGCTCTTGAATATAAAGGAATGCCTGTAGGAACCCCTTCTTTTGTGCAAGGCAGCACAGCCCTTAGCATTGGTTATGAGTACCTTTTGTCATCATTCTGCATTCTCTAGGAGACTATCATCCCCATAGGAAGTGGCTACACCACACCATTCAAATACTAGTTAGCATTATCTCTGGTTTTTCATGATCTTAGCTGGTATCTGAAATGTTGCTTTTCTGCTTGATAAGACGGATAAAGAACTTAGTGTTTCACTGAGCCTTCAAGTCCCTCGCTGATCATTTAAAGGTATTGTTTGCAGTCAAGTCACTTTTTCTTTTCATTCATAATCTGTTTTCTCACAGAATTGTATGCCAGACTGGAGAAGCTCCAGAGGAATTTTCTGATGTGGTGACAGTTAATCTGAGCAGAGAGGGAAAATCCAGGGAGCGATACTCTTATGTGGTAGGTAATTTCTAGTTCTTGCCAGAGTCGTTAATCTTGAATTTGTCACTGGAAAAGTTCTGTTGACTTTGCCCTGTATACTCAAGGAAACAGAGTTAGTTAAGGCATTTTTCAGCTATTTACATGTCTTACCTATTAAATGCTAGCCTGTCCCATCCTCCTATATCTCAAAGAGACCCAGACCAATCTACTTCCAAAGTTTTATGTTACCACTTGTAAATTTCAGTGCTTTGATGCTTAGAAAATAAACATGTCCAAGGAACTTCACAGTGAATAGAGGCAAATGCATGTAAATGCTGTTTCCTTTTTACTTATAAGAAACCCTTCCTATCAGGGATGGTTTTTTAATAGAAACACTTACGTCACTCAGATGCATATGATGTAATACATAAAATTAGAGCTCACAAAAATGTAATCTGCCATAAGATCTGTTTTGGTGGTGATGGAGGTTAAAGAGGATGCGGATGCTTTAAAGCTATTGATGGAAGTGGAGGAAATTACATCCCCTGGAAACACCTGCATTGCTTACATACCAAACAGGGAAGCAAATGGAAGAGGGTTTGGCTTCATTTGGAAGTTTCCTTTTATTGATGGATGTAACATTCCTAGCCCTCTGCTTAGATCAGGACGCATTCAGGAGAATGCTAGTGAAGGTACTCCTATTGTCCACAGGAGGGAACACATATTCTTAACCTTGCTTATTGTTCTAGATCACCACTGGTTCTGCAACAATCACAAAACTATGTACATTACTGAGACAGAAGTCCAGGAAGTACAGGCTGAGAGCTTAAGAAGTGATGACTAGCCAAGCATTTCCATTAGCTTTAAGCACATCCTTAAACCTCAGAAGCCCCTACTTCAAACTCTTTACTATAGACAGATAACAGCGAAGTTTCTTCATGGGATCAAATCTTTATAAAAATATCCTTTATTTTCTTAAGTATTCTGCACAATGGAAATATTTGGCTTCATTAGTCATCTTTTGAAGGAAAAGTCTCAGTTGACAAAAGAAATATTCATTAGTGATATGGCCTAAACTGAAAACTTGAGATTCTGCTTTGGGTTCCATCAGTGCAAGGTGACAAAAGGGATCAAACCAGTATAAGTAGAAGATAGCTATGCAGGGCAAAATGTCACATCATTTAGTCCCAATCTATTTAATAGGTAGTAATGGATATAAAAATGTCCCAAAGTAACATCAGAAATAACCCTTGAAAGGGAATGAATAGCAGCTTTGGGATGGCAAATTAAATCAGATGCTGGAGGGGCATCAAAATTTCTTGCCAGAATTGAAGTCTTGATCCAAATTTTCCTCTCTTCCCGCCAGTGGCTGCTTTTCAATTAAAACAGGAAATACAGGAGATCCTGTTCCCTGTGACCATTTTGAACCTTTAAGGGTGCAATCGGATGCAATCAGAAGACCTGATGGCCTTCTGGCCCCTTCCAACTCCTATGATTCCGTATCTACTCAGAAGTAAGCTCCATTGAGTTCTGTGGAGCTTACTTCCAGGTAAGTGGATATGGGATTGCAGCCTTAATATTTCCATGAGGTACTTTACAGTGGCTTTTTAAAAAGAAAGGCAAAGTGCATTTTGAAAGGATTTAAAACATTTTGCTTATCCCAGTACTTTCCTAGAAAAAAGGCCCTTTCAAAGTTTCAGTGTTACCATATATTATACCCTTCAGTGCTGAATGTTCCTATGCAAGATCAAATGCTGTGAAAAGGCAATTGAATATATTTCAAACAGCCCAGAAAAGAAAAAGAAAACCTCTGACATTTAACAGTTTTTCTTCAAATATGCTCCTTCAAAGTTCCAAGAAATCTCATCTCAATTTTATGATCATAAATATCATCATCATATCAAGGTAATTAAAGTCTGCCAATCACATGGTGGTAATATGGCGCAGAATTGGAGGGCTTGACTTGTAAGTTGGCTACCATGTTAGTCTGTGCAGCAAAAATTTATGTCTGTACAGCATATATTCATGTAGACTATAGCTCACTTTACCAGCTGCATGAAATATTATGGAGAGTTTCGGGTTTATACAATACATTGGGTGGAGGGAGAGAGCGACATTTACAAACAGTGAGGTCAGAAGGATAATCACATTATTAACACTGGTAATTTACAGTAAAGTTCTTGCCGATAGCATAAACGTCCTGGTAGCCAATCACAACTAGGAATGGAATTACACATGATGATGAATTCTGATTTGGCAATCTCTTTCCCTAATCTTGCTTTGAGGTTTCTTTGTGCCATAATGGCCACTTTTAGGTCAGCTACAGAGTGCCCGGAGAAGCTGAACTGTTCCTCCACTGGATTTGGATATTGTCCTTGCTGGTGTTAGATTTGCGTCCACTGATTACCTTCTGTACAGACTGGCCTGTTTTCCTTGCCTAGAATGCAGAAGTGCATTGCTGACAAAATATGGCATATATCACTGTCTCAAGTGAACCAGTGCATGACCCCTAATGTTGTGGGTGACATTATTTGCACCTCTAATAGTGTTTCCAGACTAAATAAGGGGACAGAGCTGACACCTGAATTTGTTACGAGTTTGTTCCCCATTTGTGTATTCTTCTTATGTTGTTGCTAATAAGGAGCTGTTTTAGGTTTTCTAAAACGCCTGTCTGTGAGTAGGAGATAGATTTGGCCAGGATGGGCTGTAAACATTGATGACATCCTTGAGTGTTTTAGCTGGAAACGGTAGGTGTGAAGTTGTTTTCTCTGCTCCCCTGTAGTATTGCGGCCTTATAAGTACATTGATGCTCCCAAATCTGTAGAGGTGTTTGTTTGTTAATTTAAGCCCAGTATTAGGACAAAAATAGCAAATGTTACAAGGTTGAAGGGACTTTAAAACAGCAACTAGAAGGATAAATAGAGCATTTGTTTGCTTGTATTTGTATGTTGCCATTCAATACCTAAGCATTCTCAGCAGAACTCAAAATTTCAAATACTAGGAAAATATGAAATGGCATAAAATGATAAAAGAGCAGATGAAGCTCAGCAGTTTAAAAAAATAAAGTTGACATTTGTTAAAAGGTTTTTAAGATCTGGGAAAATAAAAATGGACATGGGTAGAGACCAGTTCTCCCCTGCAGAGGAAGGCAGGACGCGCTCCAACGGAGCAAAGCTCAGGGGGCCAAGGTTTTGTTTGGATGCCAGGAAGCACTTCCTGACAGTCAGGACCCCAAGGGTGTGGAATGGGCTTCCACGGGAGGTCGTTGAGGCCCCATTGGTGTGGGTGTTCAAGGATAGGCTGGACGTCCACATGGTGGGCATGTCGTGAGCGGAGCCGACTGGTGCTGGAGGTCAGACTAGATGGCCTGGGAGGCCCCTTCTGACTCGCTCTGTTTCTATGTTTCTAAGTATTTGGTACCAAAATGACATTAAAATAGGCACAAGTACATCATTAGAGCAAGTCTTTTCCATAGGTTGAATGTCACCTCTCAAGTTACCAACAGCACCTCCACTTCCCAGAACTGAGTTTCACTTTGTTGTCCTTCATCCAGTTCAGTACTGTCCCTAGACAGCTTTGCATCTCTGTAGGCTTCAGATGAAGAAAAGAAGTAGAGATTTACATGTAAGAAGTTTAAAAGTGATCTTACTTTGCAACTTGCAAGTCCTACTTGGAGAGCCGACTTCCAAGAAACTATTACTAGGATTATTGTTTTCATGTGCAAATCAATCATCTTAGTTTCTTCCCAGGGGAATATTGTGGGACCTTTAACTTTTGCAGTGTGTCTATAGTGCTGAATTATGGCATTATTACAGAGTAGGAACATCAGCTTGTGCAAGCTTAGGCAGAAAAAGTTCTACAACTCCCAGCGTGCCCCAGTCAGCAGGGGTATCTGGGTGATTCTGGAAATTGTAGACTCTTTCTCTGAATCAATACACATAACATTTTGCATGAAATTAATAAATGTATTAACTTATTATCTTGCTCTTCCCCTCTTTTATCTTCTTAGCATCCAGTAGTGAAGTTTATATCTCCATCTGATGGCCCTAAAGCAGGAGGCACGAGAGTAACCATAACTGGGAATCACCTCAGTGCAGGGTCTGAGATCCGAGTTTTAGTTAACAGCACGAAAGAATGCACAGGCCTCAGGTAAGTACTGCCTTAGGTTAAACTGTAATTCAGGTGTGATGGTTAGAAACTCTAGTTTCCTAACAGAAAAATAGGTTATGTCTAATGTTTTCTGTGAAGAAATACAAATGTCATGATATTTTTAAAAATGCCAAGTAGGGGAAATGAGTAGAGATCATATGCACCAGTTTCTGCAATGTTTCCAAAACTTGCCAAAAGTTTTTACAAAATATATCAATTTGCTGGGTAGCCATAATATATGCAATTGCTCCAGTGTATTTCTCTTTGACCATAATATTTAGCTATCTTCTCCTAATACAGCAGGAGTCCCATATCTGCTGTCTCAGTTACCATGGTTTCACTTAACCAAGGGTGAGCCCTCCATATTCATGGGGAAGGGGAGGAGACAGGACCCCATGAAAGCAGAAAAACAGTGAATATCTTTAGGGAAAAACCATGAATATTTCTAGGGAACTATGCACTGTGTTTGGGGACATCACATTCAGTACTAGTCAAAGAGACAAACGTGTGCTCTCTCACATGATTTGTCTCTCAATGGGCATGAAGACTCTAGAGATATTTGCAGTTTTTTCCCAGAGATATTTGTGGGGTTTCCGTATTTGTGATTTTCCCACTTTTGCAGGGGTCCTACAGCCTTAACCCCTGTGAATGTAGTGTTTGCTACTATCTGTGGTTTCAGGCATCAGCTGGAGACTTGGAACCTCTCCCCCATATGTCTGGGGATCCTGCTGCAATTGCAAGTTCTACTACAGCAAGTACACTATGAAGGGTACCTACATAAGCATTTTCCCACATTATCTCTAAATTACCAGATACGTTTGTATCTGAAGATTTTTCAAAAGCTCTGACTGCTAAAATAGGAGGACAGTTTTTGGAAAATTGCTATGTTCTGAAGCAATGTCTTACACATCCTGTCCATCAGTCTGAGGACTGTCAATAGAGTGAAAAAGTGTGGGTCAAGTACACACTTGCTCTGTTGGCATAGTAACCGGATCCTGTTGTGGACAGAGCTGTGGTTGCAGGAGGAGTTTCTTGCACCCCTGCCCTGCCACAACTGAACACACCAACATGCAGCTTCTGAAGCAGCAGTCATGTGAGCAGGTAAGGATGAAATCGAACCAAAGGCCCATCTCATCCTGCATATTCTGTTTCCAGTAGTAGCTATTAAGGGATTTCTGAGAAAGAGCATAGATGCAAAAGCCCTCCGGCATTTAGAGGAAAACAGTGACTCCATTTCTCTATCATCGCTCATAGTCACTGACAGATCTATTCTTCATGAATCTTGTGTTACCTTTCAAAGTCATCACCACAACTCATATAATTTAAATTCCATACATTAATCTATGCATTATGAGAAAAAAATCTTTCTGTTTTATGTCTGGAACCTACCATCAGCCCATTTCACTGGGTGATCCTGAGTTCTGGTGTGTGAGATAGAAGAAATGTCTATCTGCTCTGTCTCCGCACCATCCATGATTTTATAACATTTTGTCATTTATATACCTTTTGTCAAGCGAATAGAATGGAGTCTCACTAAAGATAACAGGGATCAGTCATGCATCGTTCTCAGCTGCTTGTGTCTTTTCTTTATAGTCGCACCGACACCACCATCACTTGCACTATGCCAAGGGTGGAATTTACTAATGATGCAGAAGTCTGTGTCCAGTTTGAAAATAAGTCTTGTATAGGCAATAACAGCAAGTTCACATACAGGAAAAATCCAAGTATAACAGATATTAATCCCAAAAAAAGCCAGATCAGGTAAGAGAACCTATTCTTTGCAACTTTCCAGAAATGTTAAGCAGAACAATGAGATTTTATTAGCAGGACTGACCCCTCAAAGACATGCGGCAAAAGAAGATCTAGATTAGGACTGGTCCTGCACTGGAGTGAGGGTTTTAGCCAGCTGGTGAGCCAGACAGAATGCTTGTGTCAGCTAGTATTACTAATGCTAATAATGAGTGGGGAAGCAATCTTTGGCTTTATGTACATCAAAAGATGTAGAAGCTGAGTCCAAAGTCCATGTAAGACTCATGTTATTTTTCCAGCTTTGCCTGCTGATACAGTTTGCAATTTTTTATTCAAAAGAACCTGCAACGCCAACAGATTCATTCTTGAAATGTGTTTCTTTTGATTTCACTTCTTCCTGAAATGCTTCGGGCTCCTGTTGCTTTTAATTTCTCCATGAAATCTCTCCTTGCTTAGTACAGACTTGGAGTATAACAATGTAATGTGAACAAAGAAATCTGAAAAATCGGCAAGTGCACCTAAAGCCTAAGTTGCTCAGGAAGTGTGTACGGCTCCCAAGGCTAAGTACCCTTATCTTGTGTGGTGTTCTTAATGGAAACTGGGCCTTATGCTCACAAACACCAGAAACAGATTACGACATGTGGGAGAAATGTTTGCAAATGAACAGTGGTAACACATTCAGTTTTCATTGCCTGAAGTGGTTGGTTAGTCTTATGACTGTCAGGAAGGACTGAACTGGGTCAAAATGCATAGCGACAGCTATATAGTATAACAGCTTAAGCTTAAATATTATCTTTTTTATGGTGTACCTCATATGTTGTACTGCCACTATAGGACAACCACATTTATACTGCAGAGTTCCACATGAGCACCTAACTCCCTGTTCACACCATAGTGTTGCTTCTCCTTTGGACTGTAGCCTTCTTTATCAGATGGATAATTGAATCTATCAGAATTTTTCCACAATGATAAAATTTCTTCAAGGAAGGCATACACCCCAGACAGCTCTATGAATGTGCATAACAGCAGCATGCTGAAGCTGTAGAGAGTTCTTAAAGGACTCATACAGTCTGGTCTTATAAGAACCCTGTACATTAACACTCCAGTCTTGAGTACCTTTTGGAAGCAAAGATGGATAAATCACTATCTTCTTGGATTCCCTGATGAGCTACCTGATGCTGCAATATAATTAAAGCAAGCAGAACATGAAATGGTTGAAGTAATGAAAGGCCACAGGCAAATTAAAGTCTGGATGTAGTTTTTGGTAACCATTGGAGACAAACCACTCTTTCTCTCTCTCTGCACTGGTGACATGTGCTAGAGTCATCACATTATTTTTTTAAATTGATTTCACATTGATGGTGCCACATTTAGCATTTCTCAGGCAGTTTGTCCTGGGGGCAGCACTGGAGGGGGGACTTACTCTAACCTTTCACTCATTACTAACAAGTATGTGAAAGATCCAGGATACAATCTGAATACTTACTTTTGCTTTGCAGTAGAGGGAATAAAATATATTCAGACTGTGTGTACACTTAAGTTTATTGGTGAAATAGTAATTTGGGGTTTTTTTAGCTTGCTGGTCCCTCAAGTAAATTTGAAGTCATTTGGGCAAGCTAATGAAATATGATTGGGTAGGTATCACCTTCCTTTTGCTTTTTTCCCAGTTATATCTTACCAAGAATGTGCAGGGCAGCAACACTCACATCTCTCTAAAACAAGGACTTTGACCTTTAGACTGGGGCTTTCATTATGTGAGGCAGGCCTTTCCAAGGGGCTGTTGGCAGCTGCTAGGGAAAAACAAGGTTCTCTTTGGCTACTCCTCCCTTTCGGTGCTCAGTTTTGTGTGGGCTCTGCACAGGCCAGGATGCTAAATGCTTATTATTTCAGTCATAGCAGTATATGCATCTAGGCTCCATTCTTCCTTCCGTCCTTCCTTCCGACCATACCTCCAAAAGACTTGCGCCAATGTTCCATGGGATTCTGCATAATTTCAGTTTGATAAGGATAGAACAGATAGGTTATGTGTGTTACCTTAGGAACACACAAGGCTTAGGACATATTAGGTGAATCTTGAATGAGGCTTTTGTGCGCATCGATCTAGAAAAGTATTTTACTTTCAAGTGTCTAAGAAGCTAACTGAAATCTACAGAAATAGATGTATACTATGGTGGAGGATAGGAGAGCCTAGAGGAGTGTTGTCCATGCGATGGGTCGGCATGACTTTGCGAATAACATAATATAACATAACATAACATATAAAGCAAGCACATTGTATTTTGTTTTATTCATACATGTTACAATATGTTTTGTATGTACATATAAAACCATAACATGCACATATGTATACTTTCTGTCACATGTGTGGTACTGGTACTTAGGAACACTGACTGGCCAAGGAATTTGTAGTGTGTGTGTGCACGCACGCATGTATGCACACACATCCATGCATTTAGTGCTGAGTAATATATAGAGTAGTTTTTAATGTGAACACCAAAGTTATTTGGTTATTTTAGAGTTATTTCAAGTTATTTTATACATTACATATATTACACTAAGAAAAAATTGCTGGATTCATATGTCATACCAAACATTTTATCTTCATAGTAGACCACATTGGTACATACTGAAAACATATTCATTTCTCTCACTCCAGTTAAAAAAAAACTTGAAAAGATGACTTTGTCTGAGATCACTGAAAGATACTGCTAGTTACAGTGTTAGCTGGTACAAGAGTAGAGAGGCCACAGGTGGATTTCAGTTGAAGAAAGCACTGTTTTCTATTGCTTCATTTGTATTTGTTGCAAGTGACAGATTCCCCATGTGATCCCTTTTCTGCTTGTTTTTATTTAAAAGTGGAGGCAGAATCATCACGGTGGAAGGATATGGCTTTCTGATGGCTCAGAACGTGTCCATGGTTGTTCACACCGTCGGGAAAGAACCAACGGTGAGTCTTCACCTCCATAGCATGAGAAAGACTACTTTAACGTTAATAGAAGCATAAAGACAGAAGCAATAAAGTAGCGGTCCCCAGCCTTTTTGGCACGAGGGACCAGTTTTGTGGCAGAAATTTTTCCATGAACCAAGGGCAGGGGGGTGGTTGTGGGATGATTCAAGCCCAGTACATTTATTGTGCACTTTATTTATATCATTATTACATTGTAATACATAATGAAGTAATTATACAGCTCACCAATGGGACCCTCCCCGCAACCTGCAGCCCAGCCCTTACCTGCTTCCCTCACCGCTCACATGTGTCCCCGGCTTTTTTGCGCCACTTGCTGCCAGGCTGCGCTGCCACTGCCGCCACCACTCCCTCCTCCTTTCAAGGCCCAAGACCCAAAAGGGCCTAGTGATCATCTGTGTTTGCAGCCGCTCCCCAGCGGTGATGCTGGCTAGCGCTGGGGAGCGGCCGCAAATACAGATGAAGCATCGCTCACTCACCTTCACCTGCTGCTCACCTCCTGCTGTGTGGCCCGGTTCCAGGGACTGGGAACCCCCGGAATAAAGGCCAATGCAGAGGATGTAGGTGCTGCAATATACCTGAAAACGATACGCGTTCAGCAAGTGTGCAAGCAATCCTGTGGTCAGTTATGTTCAAATGTTAATTGAGTGGTGGGAGCTGATTCTGCATGGACCTCAAACATCCCATCTTGGGTAATCACTGAAGAAAGTCAGAGTGGCCAGGATGCTGGGGTTGCTTTCAATGAGTTTTTTAATTTCAATGCATTATGGTGAAAGAGATGCAAAAGATGCCCTGGAAGACTGTCACTTAAACTTTCTAGTCAACAACCGCTTTGAATGCTTTGTAAACCACCCGAGGCTTTTTGCGAATGGGGCGGCATAGAAATGGTCTAAATAAAATAAATAAAATGCTTCAGCCACCAGTCATTATGTTAGCAGTTGCTGATGTTCGCCTAGCCTCTTTTACATACTATAAGGCTAGCGGGATTGGGAGTTGGAGGCACCGCGTGGAGGTGGTTCCGCTCCTATCTCAACGGCCGATTTCAGGAGGTGGTGCTGGGGGACTATGGCTCTGCACCATGGCAATTATGCCATGGAGTTCCGCAGGGGTCCATTTTGTCCCCTTTGCTATTTAACATCTACATGAAACCGCTGGGAGAGGTCATCAGGAGGTGTGGGCTGCGGAATCATCAGTACGCTGATGATACCCAGTTCTACCTCTCGTTTTCCACCAATCCAGCTGAGGCAGTGGCTGTGCTGAACCAGTGCCTGGCCGAGGTAATGGGCTGGATGAGGGCCAATAAACTGAAGCTCAATTCAGACAAGACGGAGGTCCTGTTGGTGGGTGGCTTGGGCCTCGGGATGGGGGACTTGGGCCTTGTCCTAAATGGGGTTGCACTCCCTCTGAGGGACAGGGTTTGCTGCTTAGGAGTGCTCCTCGACCCTGAGCTGTCTCTAGAAGCTCAGGTGACGGTGGTGGCGAGGAGCGCCTTCCTTCAGCCTTGGCTGATACATCAGCTACGTCCCTTCCTGGAGAACATCTGCCTGGCGACAGTGACACACGCATTGGTGACTTCCCGATTAGATTTCTGTAATGCGCTCTATGTGGGGCTACCCTTGAAGACGGTCCGGATACTTCAGTTGGTGCAGAATAGAGCTGCCAGGTTGCTGACGGGGACTGGGTGTTGTTCTCATATAACCCCAGTTCTCTGTCAGCTTCACTGGCTCCCGATTGAAATCCGGGCCCAATTCAAGGTGTTGGTTATGACCTAGAAAGCCCTAAATGGCTTGGGACCTGGATATCTAAAGGAACGCTTACGTCCATATATGCCCTCCTGCCCCTTGAGATCAGCAACAGATGCCCTTCTCCGGGAACTCTCTGTGAATGATATTAGGAGGGTGAGTACCCGGAGGAGGGCTTTCTCTGTGGTGGTGCCCCATCTATGGAATGCGCTCTCCAGAGAGGTCCGCCTGGCACCGTCGTTCTTTGTTTTTCGGCGCCAGGCTAAGACCTTTTTATTTAAAACTTATTTTAATTGTTAAATTATTTGTATTTATAGGATTTTAAATTTTTAGCCAAGATGCACCAGAGGTTTTTGAATAATTTTTTTATTGTTATATTGTTATTTATTTATGTATTTTGTTTCTGTTGGGAGCCGCCCCAAGGCTTCGTTGTGATGGGGGCGGCATAAAATTGTTTTAAATAAATAAATAAATAAGCAGCAGGGCTCAATTTCACTAAAGTGCTTTTTCTCCATATGAAATGTTGATGGAAATATCTGGCCCCGTTTCAACAGATTTGAATATTCAAATTATTGTTGATGTTTGCAACCGTTTATATATTGATCTCATTTGATCTTATCTGTATTTGATGCACTTGCTTTCTCCTGCTTTCAGAACTGTAAGGTTCACTCCAACACTGTGATTACCTGCCCCTCTCCAGCTGCCTCCAACCTCACTGGGAGCAAGCCAGCATCAGTGGACTTCTACATCAATGGGCGTTTGTACACTGATGACAGCCTTTTCCCTCCTGAACACCCTGAGGAGGCTGTGCATATCAGCTTGTTTCACTTGGAGTACTACATGGACCCACAGTTCTTCACAGCCAAGAAGGAGAAGTGGATCAAACATCATCCCGGAGAACCCTTGACACTAGTTATACATGTAAGAGTGTGGCAAATATGAGGTATACTGCCTCTTTATATGTGGGTGTTTTCCATGGGATCAAATTATCTTTTTATTTAGAATTTTTAAATGAACACTAAGGTTCTTTTGTAGACTGAGCTGTTGATGATGAGTAATTAATAGTGAATAATGACTATAAAGGGAATAGCTACAAACCTTTCTACAGTTAAAACTTGCAAAATAAATAAAAATACTGTTTGCATCTTCCTGATAACTAGCCATTGTGAGTTGTCATGTCATCCAAACCCATAGAGTGACTTGCTGACAAGAGTGACAAAGAACCTTCGTTGCTCTTGGTGTTCCTCCCCATGCAAGTGCTAGAGACAGCTCCTTCATAGCACCCAAGTGGCACATTGGAGAGACTGTCACTAGTTGGCTGTTTCTGTTGAAAAAATATTTTGTGCACAGGTATTTTTCTATTTTTAAATTTAGTCAGATTTTCACAACTGCACAGCTGTACAGCTCTGCTGGTCCAAAACTGGAAGCCTTGCATAAGCAATGTCCTGAGGGATACCTGTTCCCAAAGTGCATTGGACATTGACCCAGAGAGGCTCCAGAGGTATTTTCTTGTTGTCCTCCCTCCCCAAAAGCTGACAAAAGGCAACTTGTCAAGTAAAAGCAAAGCCACACACAAAATTTACTTGCAAAATAGGGTAAGCACCTTTCCCCTACTTTCACAGCAAAATTCTCAGTGCTTTGAGGGTCTCCACCTAATAAGGCCCAATGCCCCCAACTTTTCAGCCATTTCTGAAACTAGGACTGGGGGAAGCTGTATCCCCCACCTTCTGGTTAACAGTCACTCCTGATAGCTGTCAAAAATAGGGCTTTCTGTAAAAACAAGAATTTAAGCAAGGCTAGATAGGATAGTTCAGATAGGTAAACATAGAGATTTCATATACCTGGTACTTCTGAGGGGCTTTGTCATGAACTCTGTCCTCCCTTTTTTACCCTTAGGCTCCAGACAGCCTCTTTGCAAAACAAATTTTCTGGCATTTCACAGCTACAGGGCAAAGTAACTCTTAAAGCTTTCTAGTAAGCTGAAAGATAAACCTCTGCTCAGTTTAAAAAAGGCAGCAGCTCCTCCTCCCCTTCTTTGATACCCCCCATTCATTCTAAAACATTCCCACTCTCCTGGTCAGCCTGGGAACCTGTGGGCTGGAAGGTGCTTCCCAGGCCTGGGCCACTGCTGGATCTCTCAACGCTCCCATCCCTGTGGCCTCAAATTCCCCTGCTTCTGCTTCTCCATTAGAGTCCCAGCCCTGCTGGCCCTGGGCCACCTGCCAAGAGTTGCAATCAGCTCCACTCATTACAGGCTTGGCCCTTTGGAACTGCTGTTCTTATTGTTACTTCAGGGATGGCAGTTCATAGTCTCCAGGGAAAACAGGAGGGTAAAAAGCCATGAAAACTAGCTTGCGATTGCTGTGGGGAGAGGAGACAAGGCTGTTTCAACCACCAAGTCCCCTGGGAAATAAGACTGGAAGGCACTGTGGGGGAGAACAACCCCGCAGTGAGCCCTGTTTATCTGTTGGGCACACTGGAGCTTCATCACAAAACCACCACCCTACCATGGCTTGTTGGCAGGTAGATTGGCATGACATGTGAGCCCACCTAGGGAGTGAAGGAACATTCTGTGCCTTTCCTATAAAAGTGCCTTTGAGAAATTCAGAAAGGCAAGGACATAGTAGGAAATAGACAAAAGAACACTTGGAGGGAGGAATGGAGCTTGAAATACATTCTTACTCAGAAAAAGGCTGAATCATTCTGACAGCTCCTGTTAAATAAACAAGGAAATCTAGACAATATAGAATTGAGTGGTTTGGCTACGGAACAATGCTAGTTGAAGACCTTTATGCACTTCAGACACATTATCCAAAGCATTTATCAGGCAATTTAAGCACAATCTGCCCACTTTCTCACAAGTTTTTTTTTACAGGTTTAGGTTATTTGTAATCAGATATGATCTGATGTGCAAATTCAGCGTTCTCAAACTTTTACAGTCTTCTTGTGCTGATGTTTTCCATTCTAGGAATTGGGAAAAAACTGGAAAACACTGCCTGTGTTTCTCTGCATCTCCATCATATCCAGAAAAGAAGAACAGGGAATAGAAGAGGGTGGTGCATTTCCTGTTGTGCCTTAGAAGAGTGGGAATGCTAATGAATAGCTTTGAAGTGAATGCAGTTATTCGAGAAATAATGCAACTTCAAGTTTAGTGGGCCTTTCAAGAAGTGGCCACTGTGAGTTAACCAGCATTGATTTGCTGATGCAATCACTTTGCTCCTGTTTTGTTTTTCATAATTAGAAAGAACCTGACAATCTTGGCCTGGAAAGCAATGAGTATGAAGTCAAAATTGGCCTAATTTCCTGTGAGATCCAAATTGTTTCTGACAAAGTCATTCACTGCTCAGTCAATGAATCTTTGAGCACCTCAGAAAGACAGCTTCCTGTCACAGTAAGTAGTAGAAGCTTGAAATCATTTGATCTGCCTTGTAACCCTCATACATTCTGGTAATACCATGGAATTTAGCTTCTTCTACAGTCTCCTGGAATGCAAACAGGAATATAATATTTTTCATAATATGGCATGAATGTTTATAACATTGTAATTCTGTTAGCCTTTAAAGTACTACAAGATTCTTTGTTATTATCATTAAAGGTATGGCCTGGTTCACATGATCACCACAGCTGAAACAAGCCATGATTGCCTACTGCATGCTGGGTGTTCTTTGCATAATTACCTGCCTATGTCTGAACCTATGTGGTGAGAGGAGGAAACAAATAACCTGAGGCTGACCATGTGTTGCCACTGAATTTTGGATTATGACTGTGTGCAAACACTGCACAGTTGTTTAACTCTGGGTTAAAGAAGCCATAGGTTCTCTTCCTGTGTTGTTTGTGGTTAACAACTGATACTAAAAGCATAGTGCAGGGTTTGCATCTAAATATTACCCTTGATTCAGCAACTACCACCACCACCCCACACAGTTCAATAACAACCTGTACTCCGAATGGTTGTTATGTATACACTGGCCAATGTCACCTGTATGGGTTAGAGTGCACTTTTTGCTGTGAGAGGAGCAATTAACTTATATGAGCTACTGTTGAAGGTTTCTTAGAAACTTCATTTAATTCAAAATATAGCTGAGGTTTGGGACCAAATGAATGGAACACAACTTGCCAGTCATTAAATATCACAATTCAAAGTGCTGTTGCTTCTTAAAGTCCTGGAGGATTTGGTGCTCTTCTGTCTTCTTGCTCACCCATAAACATTTCTTCAGCAGGTGTTTTCCTCCATGTTCTCCAACCTTCTGAGATTATCTGGCTGGTAAAAAGTCTTTCTTACTTATGGCACTCCATATCTGAAACTTTCTTTTGCAGGAGACTCACAAGGCATCACATTTAATTTCCTTCTCGTACCAGGCAAAGGGAGTGGGTAGAGTCCAATTAACTCCTTCTACCACTGGTGAAATCCAACATCATACAAGCAGACTTCAAGTTGTGCAACTGAACTTGTATCTCCTCTCCATCCCTAAGGACCCCTAGCACTCCCCAAAGCCACTCTAAAATTTTGGCAAACCCGCTAAAGCAGGCAGGGGGCGCTGGGGGCTATAGCGGGGAGAATAGGTCCCACCGATTCACTTGCACTGGCCTGGATTGCCCTTCCTTATTTGCACATGCTTCCCTGCATGCCGTCCAGCTGGCGTTATGTGGCTGACAATGTACTAATATTGCTAGTTTTTATTGTGTTCGTTTTGGGGTTTCTGCCATTTCTTTATTGATTTTATTGATATCCCATCTTTCTACAAAAGGATAGAACTCAAAAAAAGCCAAAAAAGCCCAGTATTCTTATTTTAAAATGTTATGTTTTCATTCTTAATTATTATAATTTACTATTTTTGTTACTCTGTATATTGTCGCATTTTTCCACTGAAGGGCATTTTATAAAGTGATAAATATGGAAAAATGTAACTTGAGCTGTAGTTGACAACGCAACTCACAGAATCACAGGATGGGGGGGGGTGTTAAGAACACTATCCTGATCAGATAATTGCTTCTTGAAAGACTCTTGCGTAGAAGGGCACACAACTTCTTTTGTCAACATGTTCCACTGTCATACTGTTCTCACAATCAAGAAGTTCTTCCTTGTTTCTAGCCTGCACCTGGTGCACTGTAGTTTAAGCTTATTATTCCATGTCCTACAACCTTGGATGAGTTAGAAGAGGTCTTTTCCTTCTTTGTGACAGCCTTTGAGGTACCTGTAGAGTGCTATCATCATGGTGGTTTCAACTGCGCTACAAAATTGTCCTCTTTTCCCCATAAGAGTCAACAGCAATAACAGCAACAGCTGTGTTGGAGCAACCGAAGGAGTTGACCCAGGAACGCCAGTGGGCCTTCCCTATACCATGCGAACTTGTTAGCTTAGGAAAAGGGCATGTTTACTCCCTTCTGAATGGTGACTCAGACTGAAACCCATTTACTTTATCTCATGTTCTGTTTCCTCACCAACATAATGCTAAAATATGGCAGAATCTTGGCAAGAAGCAAAGAGAATGAAGAAAGGCAGGGATTGCCCTGCAGGCCATGAGTAACTGAAACCCATTGATGATAGGCTGGTAGGACCATGGCCAATTAAGAAGTAGAATGCTCGTCTGAGGATAAATTAAATAAAAATAAAATTGAGTATGGGATTTGGTGTTTTCCCAAGTGGCAGTAACACAGGGTGGAATTGCAGGTCCTATCTTATCATTTATTTTTCCCTTAAAAATGCTTTGTCTTCACTCTTGTAAGACCAGAAGGGTAATTCTCAGTACTTTATTGTGAACTGGCATTTTTGCTGCTGCGCTCAGCACAGGAACTGAGCACTAAGTTTTATATTTTATTTTGTAATTATATTTTATATTGTAAGCCGTCCTGAGGCTTTTTTGCGAATAGGATAGCATACAAATATTTTAAATAAATAAATAAGTGGACACAGGGAATTGCATTATAATCAAGAGATGTGTACCGAAGGGGGGCAGCGCCATGAGGTTTTAATCAGCCCTACAGAGGCTGCTTTCTGAGGTAACTTTAGATTCATCATTAGGAACTGTGTCAGATTAATCTATTTAATAACCAGTGCCCCCACTCCAGTGTTCATTGGGATCACAGTATGTAAGAGAAGTTTTGTTCCCCTCCACAGGCCTAATTAAAATCCTAGCAACCCATTGCCCCTATACGGCAGTGAAGTTTTTTAAAAGCTCCCACCAGTGCCAGTGAGAGTATATTTTCTAAGCCTGATAGCTGTGAGGCAGGGAAGAGAAATTTACATTGAGATTATGGTTTTGGAGGGAAGGGTTAAGCTTCTCTTCCCAATTTACTATGGTCCCAATGAAAATACAGGGGTGAGAGGGGGAGCCTGTTATTAATACATTCAAGATATCTGGCAAAGATCTTCAGCATGATGATTTGCATTTGTTATTTCACAAGACTTTATTATTGTTGTGGATATTTTTTCTCTGACTGTGTCACTAATTATACTCCTTTCTCTGTAGTTTCTTTTACTTTCTGTGTAGCTCTTGGCTTCCCAGGATTGAGTTTAAAGCTGTTCGTGCTTTGAGAAATGGGGAGACATTGGGCCTGTTCACACAATCACAAAGGGAGAAATAGGTTGTGGTGGCTTATTTCCCCTGCTGCACATGCCAAGGTGATTTGCATAATTGCCTTCTCCAGCACAGCTTGCCATGTTGTTTGAACTGAGCAAGAGTGGCTTGTTGCTAAGTTAACAAGCCAAGCAGAACTCTAAAACAGCCCACAGATTCTGGGTGTCTTGTTAACCACAGCAGCAAGCCACTGTATCTGGTTTATTTCCTCCTCTGTGATCCTGTGAACCTGTTTATGCTCTCCAAGACCTGACAACCTATAGCTTTCTTCCTTTTCCTGTACACAAATCCCAGCAATCCCCTTTTCCAGTAAATGAGTTAATTTCAGTTTGGCTGCAATACATGACTGTCAATGAGAGAGAAAGAGCCTATTGGGACTTGAGAGGCCTGTGGCCAAATGGGATGGAAACTTCTCCAAACTGGAGAAATGAATGTTTTTAGTAGACAGCTGAGAGGAGGGTGTTGTTTTGCTGTTTAGGTTTTGAGCATCAGTTATCAGGCAGCATCTAAATTAAATAAATTATACATACCGGCAGAAATGTATAGCACTTACAGTTGCTGATCCATTGATAAAGAAAACCATAAAATGAGAAAATTCCATTGTGAAAGAGAACTTTTAAAGTACAAAAGGCTACTTTTTCTTTTAAAAAATGGATTTGTGATCTCACTTCAAAGACTGCATGTCAAATGTTATATCTAATTCCATGAAAATTGCCCTTTTCTGAAAAGTTACATTTATGCCCCTTTACTACCCTGTCAAACTGCAAGCTGGATGTACCAGACAAGGTACATATTGCCACCTTCTTGCTAAACCTGGCTGATTTATCAAGTATTTGGCAGTTCACAATATATGGCTGGCATATTATTCAGGGAATGCAAGTTTTGGAAAATGTATTTCTTATCCAAAATGGCATGTGTTATCTATACATTTGCTAGCCTGTGAAAGGTGTTTGCTTGCAGCATCCACAAAACCCAGCTAAGCAAAAAAGCATGCTTCTAGATAGAATACTGTCCTGGCACTGAGGCTAAAAGTGAATTTCATCTCTTCACTCCAGAACATTACCACCACAATGGTTCTCTTCTATTATAAATACATTAAATAATGTCATGTCCCTTATAGGTTCCCTTCACCAGCTTCCTTCTTAACCAATATAAGCTCCTTACCACTATCGCTCATCCTATCATTTTCTTTCACCTACCAACATGTCCTCGTTACTTAATCTTCAGTGCCCTAGCATTGCCACTTTTAGTCACCCAACAGTCTGCTCATCTGCTTTTTTGTTTATACTGTTCCAAGCAATTCCTTTCCTCACTGTTACACTCTGCAAAAACAGAGAAAAATAACCATTATCCAGAGGAGCAGCAATGTTTGCAGAACCCAAGCACACCATCAGAGCAGTAGATTTTCTAGCTCTTTCAAAATGATCCTGAAGGACTAGTGGAAATCACCTCTTCAAAGTAAAAAAGATGCTCATCTTGCCCCCAGACCTTACAGATCTCCACATAACATTATGGCATAACTAGAAGCATCTCTGCTAGGTGTTCAAGTAGCAGCACAGGTACTCAAAGAAGAGGAAGCACCTCTCAGAGATCAGGGTAAGAGCAAGCCTGGTGCTACATTAAAGAAAACCCATCGAGCATTATCATTACAGTCCTCAGTCTTTTCCTCCTGTTTCAGCAGGACTTGCTTTCTGTGGGTAGAAGACATAAATAACAAAGAATTGAATTGGACTTCCACATGTAGGAGCCTAGTAAAGCTCCCTAAGTCCTTTCCCCTTTTAGCTTGTGCTGTACATGATGCCCATCAGTTTAC